ATTTCAAGACTCGCGAGAAAGTTCCACGGCAGGAAGAATGTTCTTCGTCAGTCTGACTTACACATTATAGTCTCTATGAGTGTCGTTTACAGAAATGACTCGGTTCTTTACCAGGGGCAGTAAGTGAAAAAAAAAAAAAATCTCACCAGTTAACTTGGCTGTGGGTATTTGGGATGATTCAGAAACAGAACGACAAATGAGTCATTTTCTTCTACCTCAATCTCCAGCTTAGGACTTGCCCAATTTATCCCGACTTGCTGCAGAAAGGCTAAAGATGCTGAAAACCCAAGTGAGTTTAATGCTTTTCTACCTTTCTGTCCATAGCTGCTTCCTCATTTCTTCCACTCAATATTAAGCAATCAACAGCTTTAAGAAGTTTCCTGTGACCAACACAGATGGCATATCCAGCCCCCATGAGAATCTGTTTGGAGTCACCTATGAAATGTGCCAAGTCACTCACTGGGGATATGGTTCTTTCTTTCCAGACAGTTTCACTGTGTAGCCCAGGCTGGACTAAACTCAAAGCCATCTGCCAGTTTGCCTCCGGAATGCTGGGAATAAAGGGATCATGGGGCCATTACATCCCCCCCCCAAGGGTTTCTTGTAGACTAGGCTGGCTTCAAACTCAGATCTGCATGTCTCTGCCTCCTAAGTGCTGGCAAACAGATGTGAACTTGTTATAGACCAAATTTCCCTACAAATTAGATAATTTAAAATATAATGTTTAAAATGCAAATAGCTATGTACTAAATGAGTCACTAACTAGCATTCATATAGTTTGGCTTAAGCAATAATTCAGAAATGCATTCACAAAAATTGCCATTCTGGATACTGGTTGTTCTGAGAAGCTGCCATGCCAATCCTTCAAGAATGAAGAAGATATGCAGACCAGAAGCAGTCACTCCACACTTCCGTTCTTACGGCAGAACACAGGATCTGGTCACCTTCACTTAGTTGATATCCACCACCTTTGGAGACGGGGTATCATTCCCTACATGGTCTCAAACTCACAGGCCTGGCCCTTCCTCCTCAGTGCTGGAATTAGAGTTGAACCACCACACTCGGCTAAAATCAGGGAAATGCACGCTGGGTTAGTATTTGACTCATTAGAAAGAGGGGATCTTTTCACCTCGGAGAAGAGTGTGGTCTCACTCACCCAAGGAAGAATATTTTCTCAAAAGCCTGTAAGTTGAAAGGTTGAGTCATCTTGCCCAGACCCGGTGATGGCTTACACTACTTTCCCACAGAACATTCTCATTGCCTTACCTACAGCATACTCAGGCCACCAGAGGGCAAATTATTTGCTAACAATGCTACCTTGAGTGTTAAGGCCTCTGTACCCTAGAATGTAGCCACACCCTGAATTTTGGGGCACCAGTACTGCAACAATACCAAACCCAACTTCCTACAAACCAGAAGGCATAAAAGTCTTACTTCAGCAGAGACAAGAATCGGAAGGCTTCTATTTGGGTACCGGTTTCTTTGTTTCTACCCTCACAGCCAAAGACAAAGGCTGCACAGATTTCTCCCTTTAGATGGCTCTTTCTCAGGAGAGTTACATTGTAACATTAGTTACTTTGTAAACACTGCTGGGATTCCAGAGAGAATTTGTTTCCATGCGTATACTGGGTATTCAGAGTCTACCTGCCACCCCAAGCTTAGCCCTAATATGCATAAAAAAAAAGCAAGAAGACAGACTCAAGTTGGTGGTCTTCAATATAACTACTTCATTCATTGACAAAAAGGATATATGCATACACTTCTGGGCATTTCACCGGAGATTAGTCACCACAGAAGATGCCCGTACTTACAAGACCAGCAATTTAGCAGCCTGGAGTGAATGTTTCCACACAGGAGGCCAAACAACCTCAGACTATTAATAAATTACACCGGATTCCAAAACCCAGCTGCTTCCACGCACGACTGGATTTTCACTATGAGGTTCACTTCTTCCCAACTACCAATGTCCTGGATATGGAAAACGTGATCGAGAGATATCTTACTATGACTGGGTCTTTATATATACCGTTCAAACTAGAAGATGCCCGGCTTCTTCAAACCCAGCATGCCGGCCACCTTGTGCATGCAGCCCCCATCTTCCTCATAGCACTGACTTGACAAATTCTGCTTCCCTAATTAGACTGAGCTCTGTGGGCTATATGTGCGTTCTGGCCGCGCCGGGCGGGCTCCAGCTTCCGTCGGGGAACCGGTATGGGTTGATCACCCACCCTCCCCTCGCCAGCACGTGGGAGCAGCACGACCGACTGATTCAGACGCCCCGCAGTACGTGCCGCCCCGCCGCCGCAGGATGGAGCGCGAGAGCACCGGGGCCCGTGTGCGAGGGCCCCTGCCCACCACCATAGAAATCTGCGGGCACACAAAACAGGCAGCAATAGCGGCCAACCTTTCTCGCCAGGCCACCGGGAATACTAAAGTTACGTAACTTGTAGCTGCATCACCCAGGACCGCTAGTGATTGCATCTTACCTACATGCACCCGACCATGAGGGCCAGAGGAGTCCGCGGACGTGACCAGAATGCGGGGGGTGGGGGGGAGGGAAGCTGTGAGGAGGGGGAGGGGCGAGGAGATGGAAGCTGAAAGGATGCTGCGGCGCGGACGTGACCGGAACAGAGTGGGGAGGGGCGACAAGGAGCTAGCGCGGGAAGAGCACGCTGACCTGAATGGAGGATGAACGCCGGGGCTGAATGGGGGGTGTGTGGGGGGGTGAGCACGGGAGTTATTTCAAGGAGAGATTACAAAGAGGGCACAGAGCTAAGATGAAGGTCGTAAGTACTAGTGGATGTAGGAGGATGAGCATCGGAGCAGGGCGAGAGAACAGGGTGGCGAGGATAGCAATAGTTAAGATAAGAGGCTGAAACCAGATTGAGAAGGAAGAGAGAGCAGAACGCGTCTGTGGGAAAGGAGCTAGCCGCCCCCCCCCCCAATTTGGAAGATCAGGACTTGGGCTCAAGTGTAGCTTCTCCCCAACCCGGAATGGGATGCTCGACGCTAGGCGCCTGGGTCCCGCGTGGGCAGGCAGGCCTGCATTCCGCAGCAGCGGAGATCGGCTCTGGGGACAGATGGCGTAGGTTCTCCCCGCTCACCTCGGGTGTACTTCGGTTCCTGCTGCGATAGCTAAAACGGACGTCTGTGAGTCAGGACGCGTCGCTGTTGTGCGGGCTGCGCGCACTGGGCCTCAAGGTTATCACAGCTGCGGGCCGCCGCAATCCCTCCGCAGCCCCGCCCCTCGCCCAATCCGGGCTGCTGGCCGCGGCGCCCCGCCTCTCACTGGCTCCCGCACCTCCCGAGAGAAGCGCAGGGTAGGCGGGACAAGCAGGTTGCCCTTTTGAGGAGGACTACCTTCCGTGGCGGAAGGACATCGCAGACCAAAATTGCGCATGGGTTATTCTGATGACCAATGGGGAAGTGGTGAGGAGGCAGGGCCCGCCCTCGGGGCCTCCGACATCACCACCCCTAGATCCCCGGGTGCCACCGCCACCTGTTGCTTTAGGACTTGAGTGGCTACATAATGTTCCCTTTTTGGCCTTCTGCCCAGGTCTCCCCATCTGCCCTGAACTACCAGGGCGGTGCCCAGATTTATAGGTCCCGGACATTCCTCCAGCCCCGCCCGGGGACTCTCCACCCTCCCGGCTCCCGCCCCGGTACACCCTCAGAGGCTGAGCGGAACGGGAAGCTGGGGTGATGCGAGCAAGAGAGTGGTGGAAGGTCTGAGCTGCCTCCTAGAGGGTTCCAGACTTAGAGAACTTAGTCTCCTTTTGGAACGTGAGCGCGACCTCCTAAAAAGGAGGGCCAGATTGGACCCATGTTAATACTTTGAGTAGGGTCTCGAATCCTGCATTTTTAAAATGCCTGGACGCAGCAAACCAATCCAAGGTAATTAGTGCAGAAGTGACCTTCACATGCCATTATCTATGCAGGAGTCAACACTGGTTTTTGACTCCGTCGTATATGTATTTAAATTTGTAGTACTGGAGCCTTCTTTAACAATTTTTTTCCCTACAAAGTATTTCCTAATTTCCCAACCGTTAACACTGGTCTTCATTCCGCAGAGTTTTGAAAGAAGATACAATGTTGCCACATTCTAAATGGGAAGAGTGTACCTTAAGTTTTTGGGGTTTTGTTTTTTCTTGGAAAAAGATGGGTGTGGCCAATTCAAGCAGACACTTCTTTGTAGCTGAATCACAGGCCTTCATTCCATTTTCTGTCAGTTTAGATTAGAGGGGAGGGTAACAACATAAACGCAATTTGTAGTGAAATAAAGTTTTTTAAGTTCTTCTGCAAGCCTTTTAATACTTACCTTTTGTGGTCCCCTTAGTTTAGGGAAGGAAGTAAATGCTTGGTTATTAAGGTGGAAAGAACATGAAGTTGAAAAAAAAAAACGGTTATATCTGTGGAGAGAATCAAATTCCTTTCTGCCACAGAAGGGGGTAGAAGAAATGACCTCTTTTTGCCCTGGACAAAAAAAACCAAAGAACCATAGTGTTCAACATGATCCTGAGTGGACAGTGATCTACTCATGTTGAGGTCCACTCTGCATACTGGGAGTCAAGCATAGTGGCTCACACCTGTAATCCCAACACACAAGAGGCCAAGTCAGGAGAAACAGCAGAGCCGAGGTCAGTCTGAGCTACACTGAGCTACACAGTGAGATCTAGGCCCTCCCAGGCTAGGGTTTCAGTTAGATTTATATTCATCCTCTTCCTCTCTCCTTCCTTCTCTCCCTCCCTCCTCTCCTCTCCTTTCTTCGCCTCTTTCACACACACACACACACACACACACACACACACACACAAATGCACACATGCATTCTACCACAAATCTAGGTGATCTTAAGTCTGTGATCTTGGCACTTAGGAGACTGAGGAAGAACTGAAGGTCAATCTGGATGTGGTCCCAAACTGATATGAATATCCATTAAACTGGAGATCTGGTGACAGCTGAGAACTGCTCTTCATCTACGGGTGGTTTCAATGGTCTGACAGTTACTACGGTACGTCTTGTTCACATTAGATGACAGAATGTGTCACAGTGACTTCCTAAAGGTACTACCTTGCTTCTGCTGAGAACCCGGCATGGTATAGAAGAGTACATAATCAGGTTGTGTCTTATCTTTGTTCTAGTTTAATCACTAGCCCTATGACTATACCTGTAATTTAGCATGTACAGTCTGTTAAAGTAACTTGAGGACAATCCCTATTTCACAGGGTGGAGTTAGATCAGTTAATTGTATGTGAATGAGTCCAACAGTGTCCAACAGGCACCTTCTTCCTTTGGTAACTGCAGTCTTAGAAGGCTTTCTGGCGACCAGAGCAAAACTGCTTTCTGAATTCAGATTTGCCTTCTCTGAGCCGTCCCTCTGAAAATTCAATCTGCAGCGTCTCCAAGGCTACAGGAAACCAGGATTGAAGGACACAGGCCTCTCACCCAGCCTGAAGTAAGCCCTTCCTTTGTGTTCACAGACTTGGTCAGGATGGGACAGTGAGGTGCTAGACTCACTCTCTGTACTGCAGATTTTTGGCCAAATGACCACAGAATTGGGTTTAATGGCTTAAGAGTTTTTAAAATTCAATCAGAGTTCTTGGGACAAGGTATGTTAAAAAGCTATACCTCAATACAGGATCTGCAAAATAAACTTTGGCCCTGCTGAAATGGTGAGATTATAAACTGGCCCATATATCATATGACCTCTTGGTCTCTGGAATTGGCAGGGTCATTTCTGAGGACAAGACAGACTGTTAGAGCAGCCCACGAGCTGGAGCATCAGGTGTAAAGTAGGACTTAATACTTCAGACCTACCTCCTCCTTCTAAAGCTGGGCCTATTGGACTTGTTTTTGAGATGGGGTTTCACTTTCTATAGAGCCCACTAGGATTGTGAATTTATACATTGTAGGTCCGAACCACCATGCCCATGTCTTTTTATCAAAACCATGCCTTTTTTTTTCTTATTTAGTTTTTATTCATAATCATAAACTTAACTTTGCAATCCAGCTAGACTTGAAGGGGAATGAGGAAAATAAAAACCATGCCTTCTTCAGATATCTAAACATTTCTTTCATCACAATGGTAGAGCAAAGTTTCCTTCAGACAAACTCTGGAAAGGAGAAACATGATGGATTTTTGGAGTTAAGGATAAAGAAAAAAGAGGCTGTCTCTGTGGGAAAGAGAGGGCTTTAAGGAGGAGAAAACATCTTAGCTATACATGGGAGGTCAGTTTAGGTCTGGAGGGCCCCTTCGAGGTCTTGTGCTCTCCTCCCTACATTTGTAGCTCAGACTCCTTAGTGTACAAATTGCAGAGTAAGTAGAACCTATATGGAGAAGTCCATGTGGGTATATAGGCTGTGACTTTCCATCTCAAAGAGAGGGATGGAAAGGGGAAGATCCTGACATAACAGCTGTGTGAAGAGGTTGAGGATGGGTTTCAATCAAGATTTGGAAGACTCAGGGTCATGAAGGGCAGGATGACATCCACCACTATGTCATCCAAGTAGTGAAGCCATGTGATCTATCAATAAAGTTCCCTTGCAGAAGAGACAGTCCTAAACTCAGTGCCTCAGAAACACTGAGACCAGTGGGCTTCCCTCTCTGTGACTTCATATCATCCTAAAGAACATGTATCCCCAGGTTTGCTGCTAAGTCAGGAACAACCAGACACCACAGACATATGAAAACTTTTACCTCAGAAACACCTATGTCTCAAGAAGAAATGAGCTTTATCCATGTGGAAGTACAGAATGATCGCTGTGACTACTGTTCATCATGAGACAGAATAATAATTATCTTTCCAGTAAGGGACTTTCAAAATGTTCAGTGAAAAAAAAACGCATATTAAATGGCTCTAATATTCTGCAGCTGGACGGTGTGACACCTCTAATCCCAGCACTCGGAAGGAGGCGGAGGCAGGTGAATCTCTGAGTTTGAGGCCAGCCTGGTCTGCAGAATGAGTTCTAGGACAGCCAGGGCTACACAGAGAAACATTGTCTCAAAAAACCAAACAATAAAAAATAAATATTCTGGAAAAAAAAACCCTCAAAGACGGAAGACAGGAAACAGTGGATCAAGTACACTCTTCCTAAGACGTGCTACCTTTTCCTTAGATGTGTTCTTCACATTATGTCTGCCTTTACAGACTGGCTGCCTGGTTCACTCATTGCAAGGACAACTAGAACTAAAGAGACTGCAAGTCTTCTCTTGTGCAGTTATTTCTTCAGAAAGGTTTAAGAGGGTGGCATCTCTGGCCCAATGGTGGTAACAGTGTGAGGTGGCCTGAATCTCAATTTGTGGAAAGTCCTATGCTCCAGAGGCTAGTTCTTTGTCTAAATGAGCTGAAGCCTACCTTTTTCTCATCCCTGGGGCTGGAGGGCCCCAGTGGAATTGTATCATCCACAAAACTTCCTCCTCATCACCTCTAAGAAGCCAAGATATCCCTAGATTTATCCAGAATTCTGTGAGCTGTAAGAGCCAGTAACGAATGACTCAGCAGCAGACTCTGCTGCTCCTTCCCAGCTAGAATTAAAGGCAGAAGGAAGCTCCTCCCCAACCGATGGCCACATCCTTACCGCAAACTGAGTCATAGCCACACCCAGCCTGGGTGGAAAACTACCAAGGGAAGGAAGGAAGGTGAAGTTCAAGGAGTTTTTGAGTTTTGACCCTGATATACTCTCTATTTAGCACTGAGGAAAACAGTTCCTTGTCCTGACTCTATCCCTAATCAGGCATGTGTGGGTCAAAGTGAGGCAAGATTGCTTACACCTAGATAAGTGAAAGGTGGGCTGTCACTGTGTGTGCAGGACTCTGCTCCCTTGAAGAATGGAGTCTTGTAGCTGACACCTGTCTTCATGAGCCCCAGCCCTTTCACCTTCTAAGTAGCCAGACCCCCAAGTCTCCCTCCATGGTTGTGAGCAGGTATCTCTAGAAAAACACCGGACCCTACCAAGCAATTTTCGTGGCAGTGAGGACATTCTCCTGTCAGATAAGGTTTTTCCTTCCTTATACTGCAGAGGAATGAACCAGACCTTTTATGTATTAAGCAGAGGTGTTACAGCCTAGCCACAGCCCCTGCTTTCAAAAGGCATTCTTGATTTTGGCTAGAATTTTTTAGTCTCATGTTTTGAGTTATTAGGCATTATGAACTTCTGAGGTCAGCTTTTCAGTAGGGAACTATATAAATATGTATGATTTCATTGATATAAAAGTGTTTATAAGTAGGAACATTTTCTTAATTTCTAACATTGCCAAAAATGTTTTATAACATGTGAGCAGCCACACACCTAAGGTCAGGTAGAGCACCAGCTGATTGAGAAGTTTTGAGTGCCCAGTGTGGGGGGGGCATGCCTTCAATCCCAGCACTCTGGAAGTAGAGGCAGGATTTCTGTGAGCTGATCTATAGAACAAGTTCCAGGCTGGCTAGGGATACAGAGTAAAACTCTTTCACAAGGGCAGCATATCAGATATGCTGCATATCATATATATACATTACAATTTATAACAGTAGCAAAATTAGTTATGAAGTAGCAACAAAAATAACTTCATGGTTGGGGGTCACCACAATATGAGGAACTGTATTAAGAGGTTGCCACATTAAGGTTGAGAACCATTGCTCTAGACACATTTAAGGTCTCTGAAGAAAATGTATCTTCCATCTTTGCTCTCAGCAGTAAATGAGGCTATAATCACAGAACCAGAAAAGGAATTTTGGGATCAGGTTACTATGATTAGCTGTGGATCATAGCAAATTACTTATCCTCTAAGATTATGTTCTCATCTGTAAAATGGGAATAATAGCACCTATTTCTGAGGCTTTTGTGAGAATTAGGGGTCAATATATGTAGCATGCTTGCAACAACATATATGTATATACTAACAGTAATATAAGATGTTATCAAAATATTAAGGTACTCTGCACACTACCTGGAAACTAATTTATAAGAACTAAAGTATGTTAGAAATCTGATACTGTATTATGAGTTATAAAGTCTTCCCAGGAAGATTTTCAGTTGCATGTGTCCACTGATAGTCATTGATTTGGTGAACCATTATTTCTGTTATTAGAAGAGTGTTAGAATATACTAGCAATTTCCTTTTTGAGATAGGATTTTTGGTTAGTTGCTCAGGTTAGTTTTGAAATCCTGGGCTTAACTGGTTCTCCTGCCTTGGCCCCCAGGGGATAAGCGGAGACTGTAGGTGAACCCTACCACACTCATTTATAATGTACTAGTCATAAGGGCTTGGGAAGACAATGAAGAAAGTTCTTTAGGAAGGATCTTTAAGAGTGGTATTAACTTGTTCAAAATGTCAGGAAGCACAGACAAGTAAGATACCTAGATAAAAAGGTGCTGTGGAATACGATGAAAGTCACAGAAGACAATAACTAGTCTATTGAAAGCAAGAGCTATAGTAGAACTTGAAATCGTTTTCACTGGAAAGCTGGGCTTTTGTCAGGCATGGTGTTGTGCCCACCTTTACTCCCAGCACTTGGGAGGCAGAGGTAGGCAGATCTCTGTGAATACAAAGACAGCCTAGTCTATAAAGTGAGTTCCTGGACAACCAGGGCTGCTGTACAGGGAAACCCTGGCTTGAAAAACTATTTTTAAAAAAAAAAAGAAAGAGAGAAAAAAAGAGAAAGAAACAAACAAAGAAACAAAACCAATAAAGCTCCTTTTGAAGGAGCTTTGTGGTATTTTCTATATTTACATCTGGTTTTAATATTTCATAAAATATTTGGAAATGTTCAACACATCTCAACTGTGCTTAGAATTAAAAAAGGGAACTGGGCATGGTAGCAACACCTTTAATCCCAGGACTTGAGAGACCATGGCAGGTGGTTCTGTCTGAGTTCTAGGCCAGCTTGGTTTATACATAGTGAGTTGTGTAGGCCAGCCAGGGCTACAGAGTTGAGAACCTGTCTTAAAAATTAACTAAGAGTTTTTGGGCATATGGAACAAGTCTGAAAGGCCAGAAGCTTCCTTAATCAAACAAACCAAATCTTCCGTGGCTAGCCATTGTTAATAAGAAAGGCAGTGGTTTCAGGACACCTACCTGTTTAGGGAATTCCAACTTCTTCCTGGTGAATTCTCACTCCAAACCCTGACAGCCCAAGGCCCCCTTAGAGCCTCATGCACACTAAGCGAGCATTTTACTTCAGACCTATACCCACAGGCTATAGGCCTTTTTAAAGGACTTCCGGCTAGAGAACTCGTCTTTCTCTCACCTGCCAACTTATCCCTTCAGCTCACTTGTCCGACTAAAGGCCAGGGAGGGGGAAAAGGGCCTAGCTTCTGAGATACAGAGCAAGCATGGCTGACAGGCTGGCTTTGTGAAGAAAGCAGCTGGTCCTGAAGGTTTAAAAAAAAAATCCAAGTGGCTCTGGCTTCAAAGGCCCACTTAAATCTTGTAACCTTCATCAGTTGCATTCTTACCCTGTCTGTTTCATCTAC